GCTTTAGAACACATCATAGCACAGAGACAGCTCTGGTTAAAGTCACATATGACATTCTAATAGCCTCTGACAAGGGACGTGTCTCTATTCTTGTTTTGCTCGATCTCAGTGCTGCATTTGATACTATCGACCATGATATCTTATTGCAAAGACTAGAGCACTTAGTTGGCATACAGGGAACTGCTTTAGACTGGTTTAGGTCCTATCTATCTGAACGCTCTCAGTTTGTACGTGTCAATGATGAATCTTCCACGCAAACCAAAGTTAGCCATGGAGTGCCACAGGGCTCAGTGCTCGGACCTATTTTGTTCACATTATATATGCTTCCGTTAGGCAATATTATAAGGAATCATTCTGTAAACTTTCATTGTTATGCGGATGATACTCAACTATATTTATCAATCAAGCCTGATGAAATTAATCATCTAAATAAAATTCAAGACTGCCTTAAGGACTTAAAAACGTGGATGACCTTAAACTTTTTGATGTTAAACACGACCAAAACTGAAGTTATTGTACTTGGCCCGAAGAATCTACGAAACAAATTATCTAAGGATATACTTACTATGGATGGCATTAATTTGGCCTCCAGTGAGACTGTAAGGAATCTTGGTGTTATATTTGATCAGGATTTATCCTTTAACGCCCACATAAAATCAATTTCAAGGACCGCCTACTTCCATCTACGTAACATTGCAAAAATCAGGCATATCTTGCCTCAAAACGATGCAGAGAAACTAGTCCATGCATTTGTTACTTCAAGGCTGGATTATTGTAACTCTTTATTATCAGGGTGTACCAAGAAGTCAGTCAAGTCGCTTCAGCTGATTCAAAATGCTGCAGCTCGTGTACTAACCAGAGTTAGGAAAAGGGACCACATTACTCCTGTTCTGGCTGCCTTACACTGGCTCCCTATAGAACACAGGATAGAATTTAAAATTCTTCTTCTCGCCTACAAAGCCCTTAATGGGCAGGCGCCATCTTACCTCAAAGAACTCATTATACCCTACTGTCCTACTAGGGCATTGCGTTCCAAGAATGCAGGGTTGTTGGTTGTTCCTAGAGTCTCTAAAAGTACAATGGGAGCCAGAGCCTTTTCTTATCAAGCTCCACATTTGTGGAATCAGCTTCCAGTTTGTGTTCGGGCGGCAGACACCCTATCCGTTTTTAAGAGTGCGCTTAAGACCTTCCTTTTTGATAAAGCTTATAGTTAGGGCTGATTAGATTCAGCCCCTAGTTTTGCTGATATAGGCTTAGTTTGTCGGGGGACATCTTACTTCTTCCTTCTCTCTGTCTATACCTGTGTACTCTCATGTTCCGATTAACCCAGCTTCCCCAAATGTCTTTCTTTTTGGTGTCTATATACGCCGGGATCCGGAGTCATGGATGATCCTGCGCTCCTCTGTCCTGGATCGCGAGCCCTGGATCTTGAGTCGTGGCTGTGGTCCTGGATCATAGGTCCTGGATGGATATCCTCATGGATTCATTTTCCTATTATACACACATGCATTTCCAAACATTTGGACTACCTATGTTGCAAATGTATTATCTTTTCAATTTACACACGGCATCTATTGCACGTCTGTCCGTCCTGGGAGAGGGATCCCTCCTCTGTTGCTCTCCCTGAGGTTTCTCCCATTTTTCCCTTTAAACTGTGGGTTTTCTTTGGAAGTTTTTCCTTGTACGATGTGAGGGTCTAAGGACAGAGGGTGTCATATTGTCATACTGATATTTTGTACAAACTGTAAAGTCCACTGAGACAAATGTAACATTTGTGATATTGGGCTATATAAATAAACATTGATTGATTGATTGATTATGCACCCAACAGCAGTTCAGAGTATACGGCCTTCTTGGAGACCCTGGAAAGAGTCCTGTATGGGGCTCCTGAAGGGGAGTCTTTAATCTTGCTGGGAGACTTCAACGCACATGTGGGCAATGATGGAGACACTTGGAGGGGCGTGATTGGGAGGAACGGCCCCCCTGATCTGAACCGGAGTGGTGGTTTGTTACTGGACTTCTGTGCTAGTCATGGATTGGCCATAACAAACACCATGTTCGAACATAAGGATGCTCATAAGTGTACGTGGTACCAGAGCACCCTAGGCAGAAGGTCCATGATCGATTTCGTTATCGTATCATCGGACCTGAGGCCGTATGTTTTGGACACTCGGGTAAAGAGAGGGGCGGAGTTGTCAACTGATCACCATCTGGTGGTGAGTTGGGTCGAGTGGCGGGGGGAAGCCTCTGGATAGACCTGGTAAGCCCAAACGTGTAGTTCGGGTGAACTGGGAACATCTGGAGGAGGCCCAAGTTCAGGAGGCCTTCAACTCACACCTCCGGCGGAGCTTTTCGGGCATTCCTGTGGAGGTTGGGGACATTGAACCAGAGTGGTCGGTGTTCAAAGCCTCTATTGCCGAAGCCGCGGCGGGGAGCTGTGGTCTCAAGGTCCTAGGTGCCTCAATGAGCGGTAACCCTCGAACCTCCTGGTAGTCCCTGGTGGTCAGGGAAGCCGTCCGACTGAAGAAGGAGGCCTTCAGGGATTTGTTATCCCGGGGGACTCCCGAGGCAGTTGCAAGGTACCGACAGGCCCGAAGGGCAGCAGCCTCATCCGTGGCGAGGCAAAGCAGCGGGTGTGGGAGAAGTTCGGAGAAGACATGGAGAAGGACTTTCGGGCGGCCCCAAAGTTGTTCTGGAAAACTGTCTGACACCTCAGGAGGGGGAAGCAGGGAACCATCCAAGCTGTGTACAGTAAGGATGGGACGTTGTTGACCTCAACTGATGGAGTGTTAGGGCGTTGGAAGGAACACTTTGAGGAACTCCTGAACCCGACAACTCCGCCCTCTATGTTAGAGGCAGAGCTGGAGTATGACGGGGGATCAACACCAATCTCCCGGGGGGAGGTCACTGAGGTCGTTAAACAACTCCACAGTGGCAAAGCCCCGGGGGTGGATGAGATCCGCCCGGAAATGCTGAAGGCTCTGGGTGTTGAGGGACTGTCATGGTTGACACGTCTCATCAACGTTGCGTGGAAGTCGGAAACAGTACCGAAGGAGTGGCAGACCGGGGTGGTGGTTCCCCTTTTTAAAAAGGGGGATCAGAGGGTGTGTGTCAATTACAGAGGCATCACACTACTCATTCTCCCCGGGAAAGTTTACTCTAAGGTACTCGAAAGGAGGGTCAGGCCGATTGTCGAACCTCAGATTGAGGAGGAACAATGCGGATTCCGTCCTGGTCGTGGAACGACGGATCAGCTTTTTACTCTCGCAAGGATCCTGGAGGGGGCCTGGGAGTACGCTTATCCGGTCTACATGTGTTTTGTAGACTTGGAGAAGGCGTATGACCGAGTTCCCAGGGAGTTACTGTGGGAGGTGCTGCGGGAGTATGGGGTGAGGGGGTCTCTACTCAGGGCCATCCAATCTCTGTACTCCCAAAGCGAGAGCTGTGTCCGGGTCCTCGGCAGTAAGTCGGACCCATTTCCGGTGAGGGTTGGCCTCCGCCAGGGCTGCGCTTTGTCACTAATCCTGTTTGTAATATACATGGATCGGATTTCGAGGCGTAGTCATGGGGGAGGGGTCTGCAGTTCGGTGGACTAAGGATTGCACCACTGCTTTTTGCAGATGATGTGGTTCTAATGGCTTCATCGGTCTGCGACCTTCAGCACTCACTGAATCGGTTCACAACCGAGTGTGAAGCGGCTGGGATGAGGATCAGCACCTCCAAATCTGAGGCCATGGTTCTCAGCAGGAAACCGATGGACTGTCCACTCCAAGTAGGGAATGAGTCCTTAAGTGAAGGAGTTCAAGTATCTCGGGGTCTTGTTCTCGAGTGAGGGAACAATGGAGCGTGAGATGGGCCGGAGAATCGGAGCAACGGGAGCGGTACTGCAGTCGCTTTACCGCACCGTTGTGACGAAAAGGGAGCTGAGCAAAGCTCTCTGTCTACCGGGCCATTTTCGTTCCTACCCTCACCTATGGTCATGAAGGGTGGGTCATGACCGAAAGAACGAGATCGCGGATACAAGCGGCCGAGATGGGTTTTCTCCGCAGGGTGGCTGGTGTCTCCCTTAGGGATAAGGTGAGAAGTTCGGTCATCAGGGAGGGACTCAGAGTTGAGCCGCTCCTCCTTCGCTTTGAAAGGAGCCAGTTGAGTTGGTTCGGGCACCTAGTTAGGATGCCACCTGGGCGCCTCCCTAGGGAGGTGTTCCAGGCACGTCCAACTGGGAAGAGACCAAGGGGTAGACCTAGGACTAGGTGGAGGGATTATATATCTTCGCTGGCCTGGGAGCGCCTTGGGATCCCCCAGTCAGAGCTGGTTGATGTCGCCAGGGAAAAGAAAGTTTGGGGCTCTCTGCTGGAACTGCTACCCCCGCGACCCGACCACAGATAAGCGGGAGAAGATGGATGGATGGATGGATGTTTGGACGTTTAATCGAGATGGACATCGGGGATAAAGATACACCGGGTAAGAGTAATGCATGATGAACCCAAGATAATACAAGTAACGTGTGTGTTCAGATTTGACTAAGCTAAGACTGGAGTAGCCTACCAACAAAATTCTACTATATCCACAAATGTCATAATAAATACTTTGTATAGAGTTGTAGAGTTGCCTTTTGCATATGGTGTGAATGTGTGTGTGTGTGTGTGTGTGTGTGTGTATGTGTCTTTTGGTATTTTTTAGAAGATGTGGTTAATACATTATTCAAATATATTTATATGTTGCTAGCTTGATTATCATCCAACAAGTAGCAGTAGCCAAGTTTTGCAGAAAATGTCCTCCCTGTCACTATATTTCAAAGTAACAGTAATTATTTGACCAGAATGTCATGAGCTGGACCAAAATATGCGTCTAATACTTTAACAAGCCATCATTAAGATTAAATTAAAAAATCCTGACTCTTTAAACCTGGCTGAGATGACACCCAATGCTAGGAATGACTCACTTAAAAACCTCTTTGGAATAAAATGAGTAAACATTTCACAGCAGGTGTGACTCACTGATGAGAGGCGTAGTCTCGCCAGTGGTTGGCAGCAGGTCGTTCATGATGAGCAGGAAGACGGTGTATCCCAGGATGAGGGTCATCTTGAAGGAGGATCTGTCCACACTGTGGGGGGGCAGCAGGAAGCTGAAGAGGTCCACTGTGATGAGGAAGCAGCTGGGGATCAGCAGGTTCACCACATAGAGGATTGGCCGACGTCTCAAAATGATCTTGGGAACGGACACAGGTACAACACCTCAACTTTTTTGCTAGTCTTTTGAGATTGATAATACGTTTTTGCTGAGCTCATCAATTCACTTTGGGTTTCTTTTCACATAGTGTCAATTAAAAAAAAATGCAATATGTTTGGCATTTTTATCTGTATACATCCCCATTGATATACATTTGTATGTGTATTAGGCCTATATTTTTGTATAACCCGCCCCTTTCCTTTTTAAAACATTTCCACATTGTGAAATTCTGTGCATTGAAAAGTTTTGGCTCCCTCTATTGTGATCTACTAGTTGTGCTGGTTGCAATCATCTATTATTAATCCCACCTGGGCATCTTTTGTATCCTCTACATAACTGATCTAAAAATAACTGTTTCGATGTGTTCCAGTCAGGCTTTCGTCCAAACCACAGCACTGAGACTGCTCTTGTAAAGGTCTTTAATGACATCCACTTAAACACAGACAGTGGCAGAACTTCAGTGTTAGTATTATTAGATCTCAGTGCTGCGTTTGACACTGTTGACCACAGCATATTACTAGACCGACTGGAGAACTGGGTGGGACTTTCGGAAACAGTTCTGAATTGGTTTGAATCCTACTTAAAGGACAGAAACAACTTTGTTTCTATAGGTAAATACACATCTGAGTTGACAAATATGACATGTGGGGTTCCTCAAGGCTCCATCTTGGGGCCTCTTCTCTTTAACATCTACATGCTACCACTGGCTCAGATAATGAAGAACAACAAAATAAGTTACCATAGCTATGCAGATGACACACAAATTTACGTAACAATTTCACCAGGAGACTATGCTCTAATTCAAACACTGAGTAAGTGCATTGAACAAATCAATGACTGGATGTGTCAGAACTTTCTCCAATTAAACAAAGATAAAACTGAGGTAATGGTTTTTGGAGCCAAGGCAGAACGTATAAAAGTTAGCGCTGAGCTTCAGTGTGCAATGTTCAAAACAACAGATAAAGCCAGAAATCTAGGTGTAGTCATGGACTCTGACCTGAGTTTCAGCAGTCACATTAAAACTGTTACTAAATCAGCCTACTATCACCTAAAGAATATATCTAGGATTAAAAGACTAATGTCACAGCAGGATTTGGAAAAACTTGTCCATGCTTTTATCTTCAGTAGACTCGACTAATGAAAGCTTTAGCGCAAGTTCAATAAGGAAGACCTAACTCGAGTCACTTACACGTCACTCTATGGCTCCCTTCCCCCCCTCATTAAATATGAGGGCGTCACGCCTCAGCAGCCAATCGCTGCACATGCTAAATGCCTTAAATACCTGCTCTTCCTCCCTGTCAGTTGTCATTGCAGATGATCACACGCAATGGTAGTTGCAATACAATACTGCTTCTCGTGAGAAAAACCGTAAGAAACAACTAGCTCAAGATGTCCAACTCGGACAATTCGGAACACGAACCTTCTCTGGAAGTCTCCGATCCCGGTTCGGCTCCCCACAGCGGCTTATCAACAGAGGAAGACTTCCTCATCGCCGGGCTCCTGCAGCAGGGCTTTCCCACAGCCCCAGGCCTCACTCTCTCTCAGCTGCGATAGCTCTCGGACCAGGTCTCCAGCGTAGCTCCCCAGTCCGGGGCAGCAGCTCCAGCCAGCTTCCCAGAGAGCAGGACGAGGCCGCAGCCGCGGAGGTAAAAAAAAAAGGGCAGGAAATCGAGCCCTCCAGGATCCCGTCCCCCTCCAAAAAATCCACCCCTTCTCAGGCTCGCCAGTCCGGTAGCGTCACACACCCCTATGGAGAGTAGCGCGGCCGGCTCCCTGCAATCCCTGGCTAGCTCCATGATAGCTATCGATGCTCGCCTCCAGGCTCTGGAAGACTCCGCCACAGGAGCTTCAACTTCCGTTGCACTCCGGTACTAGTTTTAACGAAAACGTTTGCACTCGACCCTTACACAGGGTTGGGTTGTAACGGAATACATGTAACGGTGTTACGTAATCGGAAGAGAAAGAAAGAAAAAAAAAAAAAAAGTATATTCAGCTGGCGTTACATCTGAAAAACGAGTAAACTGAGTGCAGTTACTTTCGTAAACCTGAAGTGAATACTTATTGGAATTATTGGTGGAAAGTTTCCTCACAATGTAATATTCATTACCGGCAGAACCGTGTGCACAGCGCTGCAGCGTATCTGCGAGCGAGAGATGCAGCGTGTCCGTGAGGCCCCGCCCCGCACGCAGATGAGAGAGAGAGAGAGAGAGTTCTCTTTCAAAACATATTGGAAGGTAGAAACGGAGATGTTTAGATAAAACGTGGAAGATAACGTTTACGTAGCATTTATTTATTGTCGGAATGATGACATTCATAACGGGATCAAATCTAACTGAATGGCCTGCTGCTGCCGAATGCATGGGGCAAGTAACTGGGAAAAGTTTTAAAAGTGATTACATCGTTGCAGATAATAAATAATAATGATAATGTATTCTATTTAGGGGCGCCTTTCAAAGCACCCAAGGACACCTTACAATGCATAAACTTTTCCAAGGAAAGGTTTTAAGACAGTACAAAGAATGCAGTCTGGGTGAGTTTTTCTTTTTATGTGCGGTGCAGATGAGAGAGCTGTCCAGAATGACACTAAAATGTTGTGTTCGTGCTCTTCATAAGCCATTAAAACAGTAAAAATACGTGTCTCCCGTTCACCAAAACATACCCATCTGTTATGGAAAAGAAAGTATTCTAAAGAGAAAGAAAAAGAAGAGGAAAAGATAGAAAGAAGAGGAAAAGGAGAAAAGATAAAAAGAAGAGGAGAAAAGAAGAGGAAAGGAAGTATTCTAAAAGTAATCTGCCACCGGTACCGGCGGGATCGTGGTTAGTTTCCGATGCGCAGAAGAAAATCTGGCCCACCCTATATTTTTACAGGCCCACCCTAAAGTAAATTTCTGCCTACGCTACTGGTCCGCACAGCAGCAACAACCAATCACATGAATCTCTTGCCCCCGACACACAAAGCAATAGCAATGTTAAAACTGAGTAAATTGGAAAGAAAAAAAAAAAAGAAAAAAATCCCCAACAGGCGAAAACCTACCAGTTTCACCCACTGTCTCTGCCTCCTCCCTCCATGCCTCGCTCCTCTGGTTTGTATCCCGGTAGATGAACAGAGACTGATCATACAGCACCGGGTGATTCACTACCGCTATAATGAATTTTCCCTCACATTTTTGGAATATGAGGAATTACCTGCGTAGTCTCTCCCAACATACACGCGGTCTGATCGGCTAGCGCTTGTACCGGCAGATTTGCATAAACGGGATTTCATTGGCTGACGCTTCTGCCGAGGCGCCAAAAGTTGAACATTGCTCAACTTTTTGAAGCGAGCAACGCCAGCAAACGCTCCACGTCGCTTCCCAAAATACAGTTCTACTAAAAGTGACGTCACCCCATTCAAAGTGAATGGGCAGAAGCGTCGGAAGCTGTAACGCACGCCACCGTGTGGACGGGCCGTCACAGTGGCTCTGCGCCAGAAACATAAAAAAAAAAAAAAAAAAAAAACATTCTGGAATATCACCCCTCCACTCCCATTAACATCCCTCAGCTAGCAGCTGCGCTATCTACAGATTCCGTGTTCGTTGACTATCTCCCGTCAGGGCTCTCCCAAGGCTTCAGGGTAGGGGTCCTCCCATCTCCCACAGTGACTTTCGTAGCAAGAAACTTACAGTCAGCCGCTAAAGAACCCAACATAGTTTCCCAGCTCATCGACAAAGAACTTCTCAAAGGATATATAATCGGTCCTTTTAGCTCCTCCCCCTTCTCAGTGTTCCGTTCAAATCCCATCGGAATAGCCACACGTAAATAAAAGGCTGATTTTCGATCTGTCCGCTCCCTGCTCCGGCCCATTCTGCAGCGTCAATAGCATCATCCCTCCAGATCAGTTCTCCCTTCACCATGCCTCAGTGGATAATGCAATAAAGATGATCAAGTTCACAGGGCACGGAGCTCGGCTCTCCAAAGCGGACATTACCGATGCCTTCAAATCATCCCCATTCATCCGTCTCAGTGGAACTTGTTCGGTATTAAGTGGGAGTCCAAACTCTATCTTCGCGTTCGCACGACCTTCGGGTGCAGAAGCAGCCCCTGCATCTTCAATTCCTTCTCGGAAGCGCTCTATTGGATCCTGCTGAACATCGTCAGAATCCCCTCCGTCCTTCACCTACCGGACGACTTCCTCCCCATAAACCCACCACAGGACAGCTCAGGGATCTCACTGGCCAAGCTTAAACACTGCTTCAGGAGTGAGGTGTCCCTCTCTCCAAAGAGAAAACGTTAGGTCCCGTCACACGCTTAGAGTTCTTAGGCATCATCCTCGACTCCATAGACATGAAGGCGTCTCTCCCCAACGACAAATCGCAGCGCATCCAGGACATCACCAAGTCATACTGCGAGCAACAAGTTATCACAAAACAACAGTTGCTCTCCCTTCTCGGACACCTCAACTTCGCCATGCACGTCATCCCCCAGGGGCGCTCGTTCATCTCCCGCCTCCTGGATGCAGCATCAGCGGCGATGGCCTCGTGCGTTCCTCTGACTCAATGAGGTCTTCACGGATGCCGCCCATCCATGGGTTTTGGGGGGTTTCTTCCAGGGAGAGTGGTTCGCAGGGCCATGGCCCCGTCAATTTCTACCCAAGCAAGTTCTCACTAAATCCAGCCTATCACCCATATCATACCCGGGCATTCCTTCAGGATAGGTGCAGCCACCTCTGCTGCTAATCAAGGTCTCTCTACCTCATCCCTACAACAACTAGGACGGTGGTCCTCCTCCGCCTTCACAACCTTCATTCGTCCGGACATCAGCGCCGTACGGGCTTCCCAAAGATCTCTCAGACCCTAACTATGGTAGTTATACATATAACTGGTGGTGGCTCAAACACATTCACAAGTATACATGTCTCACTAAGGTTCCCGATATTCAAAACTGCATTCCTGTCCTAATTCCGCGGGCCCCGCCCACAGGGAATAATGTCTCGTCTCACGCCGCAACTACATGTAACGGGCTTCATCTCCGGCACACAGGTATTTCATTCCCAGGCCTTGCTCAAATGCATCAGTGTAAAATGTATTTCCTGCAGTCCGCGTGGACTCGGGCCACCGTACACTCCGGTGTCAGTTACAAAACAAAGGAAATAAAGAAAGAGTAAAGATATATATATATATATATATATATATATATATAGCCTGCGAAGTCAGGCGTGGCGGAAGGCCACCGTACACTTCGGTGCCAGTTACAAAACAAAGGAAAATAAATGAAGAGTAAAGAAAAATATATATATATAGCCTGCGAAGTCAGGCGTGGCGGAAGGCCACCGTACACTTCGGTGTCGTAGCGGAAGGCCACCGTACACTTCGGTGTCGTAGCGGAAGGCTACCGTACACTTCGGTGTCAGTTACAAAACAAAGAGTAAAGAAAAAAGATATATATATATATATATATATATATATATATATATAACCTGCGAAGTCAGGCGTGGCGGAAGGCCACCGTACACTTCGGTGTCGTGGCGGAAGGCCACCGTACACTTCGGTGTCGTAGCGGAAGGCTACCGTACACTTCGGTGTCAGTTACAAAACAAAGGAAAGAGTAAAGAAAAGATATATATATAACCTGCGAAGTCAGGCGTGGCGGAAGGCCACCGTACACTTCGGTGTCAGTTACAAAACAAAGGAAAAAGAATAAAGAGAAATATATATATATATATATATAGCCTGCGAAGTCAGGCGTGGCGGAAGGCCACCGTACACTTCGGTGTCGTAGCGGAAGGCTACCGTACACTTCGGTGTCGTGGACGTTGGGCCACCGTTACAAAACGAAACCGCTCGCTCCTCGGCGTAGTCAAGCCCTGCAGGCCAGGCATGCGACCCGCAGGTCGTTTTCAGATAAGACCGGCACTGATTTCGGCAGTCAGAGTCTCAGCATGACCAGTAAGCTCCGGCAGTGATTCCGGCACAGTGTCGCTCATATACGTGTTAATCTATTATCTCTCCTTCCCAGATCACCAGTCACCCCACAAGGTAAGCAACTCAGTTCATCTCAGTATTCATACTTCACTGGTTTTGGGGATTTCATCGGAGCGGTGCTTTCCCTCCTGAATGATTATCCTGCAAACCGGGGGCCTAATCGCCAAACACCATTACATTCTCCTGTTGTACTATCATGGCAATCATTTCATTCATATGACGTGTAAACAATAAATATGTAATTCTTACATCACGTCTCTCCGGTTTGAACTGCAATGGTGTCTTCACAGGTCTCACTAAAAAATCTATTAGGAAGCTGCAGCTAATTCAGAACGCTGCTGCTCGAGTCCTCACTAACACTAAGAAAGTGGATCACATCACTCCAGTTCTGAAGTCTTTACACTGGCTTCCTGCGTGTCAAAGAATAGATTTCAAAATACTGCTGCTGGTTTATAAAGCACTGAATGGTTTAGGCCCAAAATACATTTCTGATCTCCTGCTAAATTATGAACCATCCAGATCTCTCAGGTCTTCAGGGACTGGTCAGCTTTCTGTCCCCAGAGTCAGAACTAAACATGGTAAAGCAGCGTTCAGTTATTATGCTCCAAATATCTGGAACAAACTCCCAGAAACCTGCAGGTCCGCTACAACTCTGACTACTTTTAAATCCAGGCTGAAGACTTTTCTTTTTGTCGCTGCTTTTAATTGAACTATTCATATCTTAGACTGCACTGTAACTTTTATCCATGTACTTTTTTCTTTTAATGTTTATTTTATTAGCTTTTCTTTTTAATGACTGATTTTAAATGCCATTTTCTGAATCTCTTTCATTTTTTGTAAAGCACTTTGAATTGCCTTGTGTTGAAAAGTGCTATATAAATAAACTTGCCTTGCCTTACATCCTCCTCATGCTCGGAACGCCATAAAGGAAACTTTAAGTATGTTGATTTATTTTAAACTCACAGTATACTATGACTTGTCTATATTGTATCAAATAAGCATGTAGTATGGGATTGTGTGCAGCTATATCTAATAAAAAATGAGTGACCATGAAAAATGTAAGTAGTTAAAAGTGCTTACATAGTATTTGATCTCTGAGTAGCTTCCCTCATTTAACACCAGTTGGGCGTCAGGATTTACATGGACCCCTATGAGCGCCCACTCCCCGTTGGTCTTCGAAACCTTTAGGGACTCCTCCAGGATCTCTTCAGATGAAGAGCCTTGAACCATCCTGATGTCTGTATCTTGAATAACATTAAAGGCAAAGTTTTAGTTTTTAGTAGTTTTTATCTCTCCACACATTGAGATATTTGGACCCTTTAAAAGGACTTTACACAGTTTAAATTGTATAATTTGTGATTTTGTCAACAACAAATCTGATATTTTGTGTAACCTTGTGTCACACACATTTCTTTATCAAAACGTTAAGGTAAAAATAAGTTAACCTACAGTAAACAACCACAGTGACTACTTATACATTTGGTATTTTATGCTTTAGTGATGTTTGAAAAAAGTAATGCAGTTTTAAAAAAATAGTTTTGAACAACTGTGTTTAATGTTTAAGCAGGCTTACTAAAGTGTAGATAGGATCCAAAGGTCAGTGAGCAGTTTTGGATATCAAAGGGGAAATAGTAGATATTCAATATGCAGGAGCTGATCACTGCGATCGGTTTATCATCAAATACATGACCTGTGTTGTTGATGTAGACATAGGGAGTTTTGTGAGATTTGTCCTCAGTCATGCTGTAAAAGAATATAAAAAAACATTTTATATATTAGGAAATAAACATAATACATTTTATGAGGAGAGAGGAATACAAGGAAAAGACGGTTAATATCCCTCTCCCACAGCCCACTCTTGTCATTGCTTATTTACATTTGTATTTAATGTTGTACTCTGAGAACTTTAACAAATGTTTTTGGAAAACTGTCTTCTTAGCTTACAACTCTGTAATGTGGATGTCTGGGATCCAAAGCTTCTCTCGTGGGACAGAGACTCTTGAGGTTCCACATTCCTTGTCATCCCAGCTCAGTCCCTCTATATTCCACTCCTGCATAAAACAGATCAACGTCCAATTGAGGTACAGCTTGAAAAATGACTTTGTTATATTTATGTGTCACTACTCACTACCTAAATTCACTACAACAACGTTTGGTCCAAAACACCATTATATCATTATTTAAGTAAAATAAAAATAAATCAAGACTTTTGACATATCAAATCAACTTTAACTGAAGTTTATTCCAGTTATGTAATTTTAAACTATTAGGCATAAAGTGTATTACAGTAATTTGATAAGCCATTCACATATTATTTTGAGTGTTTAGAGAAATCCAACACCAGACTTTTACCCCTCAGTGGTATTCAAAAAGATACACCTCCAAATCTGCGGTAATGCAATCATAATAATTAAAAATAATTGCAACAATAGCATACAAAATCAATGTAGTGGATTTAAATAGTCCAATACTTAGTTGATGCTTGTTTCAGTTTTCTAAGAACTTACCAGAACTTGCCATATGAGTGTTGTCAGTGTTTGGAATTGTTCCTCCTGCAGGTGAGAAAAGGTTTTAAGTCAATTAGCCGTTGATGACTTATAAGAAAATGTTGAAAATTGAAAATGTTTTTCAGCAAAGGCATGAAAAGACTTACCACTCCTATTATTCCCACCACAGTGATACTAATGGTTATGTTAAGTGGACTTGAAAAACTATTAACAGGTCGCAGTAGTTTTTTAGGGAATAGATCCTTCTCAAGTTCACCAAACAAGGATTCAGGTGTAGGGCTGGTACAGTTCAATGCTGCTGCAAAACCTGAGTTTAAACAGAAAGCATAATTTGTGATAAAGCTCAAATACAGGCACAGTCCCAGTTTTTTTTAATGGTTTGGACATCAAAGCATAGGAGATATTTCTTTGTTTGCTGTATACGGTAAAGGTATACCAAGTGGATTGTGTTCAGGCTATTTTATTATTGGAAAAACAAAAGGGCTGTTTTTGCGATATTAATGTCCAAATCCCAAAGTGGGAGCACTGATGGGTGCTGCGTCCTGAAACAGGGCTTCAATATAAACGTCCGACATAAAGACTCCTCACCCCTTCTTAAAATGGAGTCTAACTAGATAATTAACATGTGACATGATTAATCTGATATTTATTTTGAAATTCACAACATTTATATTATTTAGAAGACAATACATTTATTGAATTTAACTTTAGTTTCTAATTAAGTATTTACTGACAACAAACATAACAGTACATTTTTAAATGAATCCTTATCATGTTATGTATTTAATTTTTTTCCCAATGTACCATGAGGACCAGATGTAACTGAAGTGCACCTTTTAAATGTAACAGATTGTTTTCTTTGTCAATTTTGTTAGTCAATGTGTCTTACCGTGAAGCAGCATGAAACAGATAAAGATGAGCTTAACAGAATTCATTTCTGTCATTTTCCGTCAAGGTTAAGCCGTTATCTTGAGAAATGCCTCACATTACAAGACAAAAGTCATCAGTGTGCTCCTTCAAATGAAGACTTTTTGGTGGATCAATATGATTTTAGGAGTAATCCCATTAAGTGTGTCTCCTCCTCCAGAGGCAAATATTGACTGTATAATTTGATAATTCAGCACGAGCTACTGTAGGCTAAGCCCTATAGTGTACTCCTAGTTGTTTCAGGGAGCCATTTGTCTGATGCTTTTGCATAATGAATGTTTGGATTGTACAACAGGTTTTTAAATCATCTTCTTGTGAACTTTAATTAGATGTCAATATGTTTTCCTTTCATTTGAAGCCAAGGCAAAAAAAACAGCACTGTATACATATGCTTTTATTAGTTATTGAATGGTTTTGTATGTAACCATAGACATAATTTGCTCAAGACTCAGAGAAAGCTGAGGGTCATGGGAATGCAATTAGGCTTGCAGACTGACATTACCATATCCAGAACCATGATGCTAGCAGGACTCAACACACCCAAATTACATTGAATCCTCATTAATTAAATGGTGCTAAAGCATTTTAGGAAATAACTTGTCTTATAGTGCTATTATTTTCCCTGCTAACAAGTTTGGGTCCATACGTTTTAGAGGAAATCCCTATGCTCAGACTGAATGACCAAACAATTACTACTCCATTTCATTTATTCCTGGTAGGTGTTTTTTGTGGTAGATTTGTTTTGTGACAACCAAATATAAACAACTGAAGTCATTTTTAATAACAATAACGCTTTGTTAGGCAGTGTACAGTTACCATGGTTTAAACCCATACATTCACATAAAACTAGATTCAAAAATTGAGAGGACATTATGTTTAAGCATGTATTGTTCATTTCATTTAGGTATTTAGACAAAGATGTCTGCTGAAATAAGAAAATTAGTCAAAACGATTATATTTCTTCCACCAACTCTATAGCTGTTCTGTGTAAAGATGTCTTAGAGGATGTTACAAATGCTGAGGATTTGTTCAAGATAAAAAGCTGAGGCAAAATAAGATTTATTGAGGACAACAACTTATCTTTATATGGAAACAAAAATCAAAAGTCAAAATGTCACCTCATTGTAAGCAGTCTGTTTGATCCCATGAGATCATTGTTGCCTGTCAAAGATAAAAGGAAGACAAGAGACTCGGTCTACTGATTTATTTGCAGCCTTTTATTGTTGTCATATTATCGTATATAACAAACATGCACTCTTTCATAGTTTCGCTTAGCATAAAAGTTGAATATTAGAGGTCTGATAATTGTACCCTGTGGGACTCCGATTAGATTTATGAACAACTTATGTTCAAGATCAAAGTATTTATTATTTCGTTTTTTCAAAATAACTTCAGGACACAAAGTGAAATACAAACATCACATATTGTTCTGAAATCTAGTTACACAGATTGCTTTTAAAATGATTACTTAGACACACTTTGAACCGTCCCTGAATAGATCACTTAGGTCTGGCTGATCCAGACACACCACATGCAGATGATGACCATCGCATAACATGAAATGAGCAGCAGATAGACGCGGAAGAGCAAAAAGTCAAGGACGTATCCTACTTGACACCACTGGTCCGTCAGCTCGTTCTCCTTCTGCAGCGAGATGAGATGGGCACGAAGGTCTCCCAGATAATGACAGATCTGTTTCAGTTCAGGCATAGAAGCAGCACCTGGCAGAAGAGCAGTGATAGAAGGAATCTGGGTCTACATCCAGTGAATGCCAGCGGTAACTGTTAAAACTGACAACTTTAGCACATGCATGACTAAATTAGAACAATAGGAAATATCAGCATATCTGACCTAATGTTGAATTAATGGCTGCTTACCATGTCAAACTTACAACTTAAAATAACCCCCAAAAGACAACTTATGTTGAGAATAAAATTACATTTGACTTACTAACCAAATAACATAAAGCAAACAAAAATGCCTCACATGTAAGAGACTAATTAAATCACAGAAGAAGCTAAATTGTGTAGTTATAGTTATATTTCGTTGCCTGACATAAGGCAAGGCAAGGCAAGGCAAGGCAAGTTTATTTATATAGCACTTTTCAACACAAGGCAATTCAAAGTGCTTTACAAAAAATGAAAGACATTAAGAAAATGGCATTTAAAATCAGTCATTAAAAAGAAAAGCTAATAAAATAAACATTAAAAGAAAAAATACATGGATAAAAGTTACAGTGCAGGCTAAGATATGAATAGTTCAATTAAAAGCAGCGACAAAAAGAAAACTCTTCAGCCTGGATTTAAAAGTAGTCAGAGTTGCAGCGGACCTGCAGGTTTCTGGGAGTTTGTTCCAGATATTTGGAGCATAATAACTGAACGCTGCTTCTCCATGTTTATTTCTGACTCTGGGGAAAGAAAGCTGACCAGTCCCTGAAGACCTGAGAGATCTGGATGGTTCATAATTTAGCAGGAGATCAGAAATGTATTTTGGGCCTAAACCATTCAGTGCTTTATAAACCAGCAGCAGTATTTTTAAATCTATTCTTTGACACACAGGAAGCCAGTGTAAAGACTTCAGAACAGGAGTGATGTGATCCACTTTCTTAGTGTTAGTGAGGACTCGAGCAGCAACGTTCTGAATCAGCTGCAGCTTCCTAATAGATTTTTTAGTGAGACCTGTGAAGACACCATTACAGTAGTCGAGTCTACTGAAGATAAAAGCATGGACAAGTCTTTCCAAATCCTGCTGTGACATTAGTCTTTTAATCCTAGATATATTCTTTAGGTGATAGTAGGCTGATTTAGTAACTGTTTTAATGTGACTGTTGAAACTCAGGTCAGAGTCCATGACTACACCTAGATTTCTGGCTTTATCTGTTGTTTTGAACATTGCAGACTGAAGCTCAGCACTAACTTTTATACGTTCTGACTTGGCTCCAAAAACCATTACCTCAGTTTTATCTTTGTTTAATTGGAGAAAGTTCTGACACATCCAGTCATTGATTTGTTCAATGCACTTACTCAGTGTTTGAATTGGAGCATAGTCTCCTGGTGAAATTGTTACGTACATTTGTGTGTCATCTGCATAGCTATGGTAACTTATTTTGTTGTTTTTCATTATCTGAGCCAGTGGTAGCATGTAGATGTTAAAGAGAAGAGGCCCCAAGATGGAGCCTTGAGGTACCCCACATGTCATATTTGTCAACTCAGATGTGTATTTACCTATAGAAACTATAGGTTACTTACGTAACCCCAGTTCTCAGAGTAACATGAAGTGAGATGTCTCACTATGGGATGCGCCTCATCGCGGAGCAAACAGAAGCATCAATCTCATTACGCCAATCCTGATTGGCTGGAGATCTTGATGTCAGCGTCAGGGAAATCACCCCCTATAAGTAGCTTGCGCCACAACGCATGCGCCATTCAAAATAAGCACCTCTTCTCGCTTCACCATAGCAAGGAGGGCCATAGCAAGGAGGGCCGTCTGGTGAGACATCTCACTTCATGTTACTCTGAGAACTGGGGTTACGTAAGTAACCTATAGTTCTCATTCATAACACTCCGTTCGATGTCTCACTATGGGAAATTGTAGCTCCCGTATTGCCAGACGAGCTTATCTCGAAAATCACCAAACCAACCAGAACTTAACAGGTAGAGCTCTGACTCAACCAGGTGCCCAGCACTGCTTGAGTCACACTGGGAGCAGAACGTCCAGCCTGTTAGGAGGCAGACAAAAGTGAGCGGCGAGGACCAGCTCGCCGCTGCACCAATGTCTTTGATGGGAGACATCCTGGACAGAGTCCAGAATGCAGCCAGACTCTGAGTCGAAAGAGCTCGCGGACCCGAGGGTGCCTGCGAACTCTGACTCGTATGAGCCCCAAAGCAATTGCTTCCACAGACCAGTGGGAGAGCCGTTGCTTAGTAACAGGCTTGCCCTTATAAGGGTTAGCCCAGGACACAAGGGGTTGGTCATTATGACAAAGCACCCTTGATCTGTCCGTGTACGTGCGTGAAGCACGGGCTGGACACGGCAAATCCGGCCGCTGTTCCCCGGAGGAATACAGTGGCGGGGAGGATGCCTTAATGTCAAATGTGGTACCTGAACCAACCGCCTTAAGATAAAGGTAGGGTCAGGCTTCAACCACACTCTGTTTGCCCTGGGGCAAACTGAGTGCATGAAAACTGTACACATAGTGCATGAGTGCCACTGGCTCGCTTGGCAGCTGCCAGGGTCAGCGTCATGTCACACTGTATTCAGATTGTACCACTCACGGGCCAGGCCCATAGAGCCAAGCGCTCTGGGTGTGGGTGAAAGATCGCCCCCCCGCTTGGGACAATATGTCCCTGCGTAATGGGAGCTGCCATGGCTGCCCGCACAGCAGCTGATATATCTCCGCTAGCCAGTACATAGCTGGCCAGTGCGGAGCTATCAGGATAAGTGTGTGGCGTTGCTCTCTCACTCTGGCCAGAGTTGGGGGTATCAGAGCCAGGGGTGGGAACGCGTACAGAAGGCCCGGGGGCCAATTGTGCGCGAGTGCATCCACGCCTAACGGTGCATTTAGATCGCGCATCGAAAAGAACAGCTGACACTGAGCGTTGTCTTTCGATGCGAACAGATCCACCGCGGCTCTGCCGTAACGCACCCACAGCTGGCTCACAATCCTTGGATGTAGAGTCCAGTCTGCATAAAGTGGTATACCTCTGGACAGTAGATCTGCCCCGAGGTTCCTCACTCCCGGTACGTGCGTCGCTCTCAGAGAGAGGAGACGCCTACCGCTCCATAGGATAAGTTTGCGCGCTAGTGTGTGTAACTGGAGAGAACGCAAACCCCCTTGGCGGTTAATATACGATATTGTGGTCGTATTGTCTGTCCTCACGAGGACGTGATGTCCCCTGAGGAAAGACAGAAAGCGTTTTAGGGTGAGAAACACCGCTAAAAGCTCCAGGTAATTTATGTGCGCCCGCTGGAGGTCTCTGCTCCAGAGACCCCTCACCGGGCGACCTTCATAAATACCTCCCCAACCTGTCAGACATGCGTCCGTGGTGACCACTTTCCGTGAAAGGACAGCACCCATA